GTAGGGGGAGAGGGGGGAGGGAGCGGAACATACTGCCTCCACACATATACTTATTAATGCAAAGCGAGGTTTCACGTGGGTTTAAAACTTACTATACTTTTTCTTAAACGTATATGACATCATAAAATTATACCTCTTCTTATATTCTATAACTTCTGTCTTATTCGACGACGATGACTGACTTAGTATCACTCGAAGAGGACCTAAAAGAATAGGATCGAAACGTTAGGAAATGTGTAATAAACTAATTAAATAACTAGCCAGTTGGGTTGACTATAAATTTCCCGTCTCAATTTTTAATCATTACTGGTGACAATAAGCAAACTCTACTAATAATAAGTTCTTTTGAAGACAAAACAATTCAAAAGCATTACCCAGCTATATACAGTTATAATTTAAAGTAATACGAAATGTAGTAAGGACATTATCGTCCCAGGCGTGATTTAATTATCAAACAATTACTTTTAATAACCGTACATTGTAGGAAAATTGTATTCTTATCAAATGCAGTGCATTGAAGACCTTTGTTTGTAGTACCAAAGATGCATTATAATAAAAGTTTAAAGAGTCAAAATATATAATATTGTAAACTCAAAATATTCTCGTCAGTTTTTTAATTTGAACTTATAAATTAGGAGGAAATTATTGGAAATAAATACAAAAAGCATTTGAAGTTTGCTATGAAAATTATATTATTTGTAATAAAATACGTTTGTTCATAAGCAATAGTAATTACATATTGCTGTACATATAGTAAGTACATTTTAGAATCGAGTCGAGTTTTTTTAAGCTGATTAGAAGTTAGAACTTTAAATATAACATCGCTAAATAAACGAAATCGATGTCAAGGGTTTTAATTATAGATCGAGTTTCCCTTATTATACGGGTATAAACTGATGGGAAAAAACAGTTAATCATATTTCACATATATTACATGCTATTGTATAGGGTGCAGGGTCAGGTACATATGATTTGCATGGAGAACTGAAGTAACAAAGCGTTTGTTAAAGTGCGACGTAACGTCGAAATCGCGAAATGAGAGCATGAGAATAAGTGCGCATTTTACCAATAGAAGTAATCGATTTCGAGAAAGCGAATCGCACAACTATCGGTTTTTGCAACCTGCCACTTCCGTTACTTGCTCCAGCAAGCTATGCTTTTCAGGACACTCGACGCGACAAGCGGGGGGGGTTTCGTTGACGGTCTTCATTTTCGCGGGACGGCACAAAGGTGATAAGTAGGACATACGCTCCAGCATCTTGGTATTTCATAGTGAACTCGCCACCGAGTCGGACCATCCATACAGAAGAGTCACCGTTACCTATCTTTGTGTTCCCTGTTAAGCTCATCTCGCGAAGACAGCTGCAATACCACCCACTTATATCGTCGCTCAAGTCGTAAGTCACCAATTCGTCATATTTTTCGATTTCTTCAATTGTCACTTAACAATTACAGCACATTGAAACGTAACTACAATATCATTGAAATTAAAAAGCAATGGTATTGGGCAGTTATTAATTCTGCACACTTGTCGGCAAATTTATTGCGACTGAGAACACTTTTATGCTAAAACTCTTTTCTTTGAAATCTGCGCAGCGCGAAATGTTAATTCGAATGATCGAATCGCTCTGTACCCTAACACTCCTTTTTCTAGGATAATATTTGCACACCATAGATGTTTATGTTTAGTTTAAGAAAGAGTTTAACAAAGAGGTAGAAAACAATTACGGTCATACATGTAGTGTCACAGTAGATTTAGTATATTATTGTACTATGAATACAGTAATTAATATTATTAATATTATAAATATGTGCAAATACAATAGAGTATAAATTTTATGATAATTTGCTTTATGCTTTTTTTACTTCTTATAGATGCAAATCACAATAAATTTTAATATATATAAATTTCTTATTATTACTTACCGGTGTGCTGCAATTTTAAGTATTCGGTCTGCATTTGTGTAAATGTACAAAATGTGAACTTCTTTTTTTCTGTTAAAAACTTCCATAACAGTTTTGTGAATAGAATAATTTCATAAATGTAAAATTTGCATTTTTAATTAAAAGGTAAAGATTAAATAAAAGATGCAGCCTCTTTAATTAATTAAATGAAGAATGTAATGTTGCTATCTTCTTACCCGAAACTTAGTTCGTTGAAAATTTTAATTAAACAAACTCTGTATCTTCAACATTGCTGTAAATTGATTTAATAATTCTCAACATTTTTGTCCAATATTGGCAAACCAAATATCAACCGGTTTCAACATTTTTGTTACATAGATGCGTATTAATTAATTGGTTCACTAAATTGCGAAAGAAATTTCAACGTCAAACCAGTCTGAAAATTGTAGTCTACCCTCAATTGCTTTAGTGATTTAAATTGTTGTTATTTGTGCCTAAACACCGCGAATCACGCACGTTGTGTCGAATTTCTTTTTCCGCTGATACATCTTCCCATCTGTCACGCCGAACTTCCCATATGACACACTTTCTTGAACGGCTTACTTATTAGAGTGGAATTGAATAGAATCTCATGATAATTCGTAATAAACATAACGCAGGTTACGTAGTTATTATCGTAAATGTTTCGCTTTAAATGGAGGTAACATTTTTTCTCGAGCACTAGTCAATTCACGGACAAATCGAACGTTCAACATCGGTGGATTACTAAGAAAAGTAAAAACCATTAACACGATAACTAAGTTTTATTTATACGACACATGTAGATTTATATAAATATTAATGCTAAGCAATATCTTAAAGAAACTCGTACTTTGTACGCCTTAACATAAGATAATTAAATAGATGGATGAAAAAGTGCAATGGGTTTGCAAAACTATCGGCTAACTTTGTAGCAAAAAACATGTGTTTTGCGTATGACGCGCATAAGATAATTCCATTTCAAGACGAAATGCAACGAGATAGACTAGTTTGGGATCAAAGTGCAGAGCGGTTTACGTGCTAAGGGGTGAGAGCAATTTTGCTGTAACACAATTATGTCGCAACACTTGCTCGAGTTTCAGCTGTGTGCAATTCGTGCGACTAAAAGTAAAATTATGGGGAAATGGAAATATAGAAACGGAAAGGTAATGCCGCACCGTGTTGTCACGAAATGAAAGCATCACAAATTGTAGTAAAAAATAATTATAGTAATCATTATACTAAACTTCCCTATTATATCCGCTTCGAAGAAGAAGTAAAGATTTATTACTCGAGCTAATTAATTTTCGAAAGTGATTTCAGTTTCTGTAGTCTACGATGTCAAGAAAAATTATGATTCATTAGTGATAATTTATTTCAGACAAACTTATAAATAAAACCTAACCAACGATACATAGTCAAGATGCAACTCATTGTACTGACTCCATTCTGCAGCTTTCACGCGCGTTACTTTTCGCAATTAGTAGTCTCGTAATGTTGTGTATGACGAAGGACACAAAGGAGTACAAAAGTCTTTCTAAGGGAAATAAAATATGTGTTACTCCTGGGATACTCCCGCCTTGGCAAAAATATTCTTGTGAATTGTTGCACGAATTGATAAATTGCAATAACTGTTGAATATGGATGCGCGCAATGCGATATCCACAGCCTGAAGGTACGTACGTTTCGCCTCAAAAGAAAGTCGTACATTATTTGCCAGATACTACGTGTAGCAGCGTGCGTTGAATCTCGAGAGAAAACGTCACGTGCTATAGGATTAGTGGGTCAGTGTTCCTCTTTAACATCCGATGCTTCTTCTCGATCATCGACGAGCATCCAATTCACCTTCGGCCAATTCACTAATCCGAAGATCTATAATACTTCATCTTTAATGATAACATTGACCTGCAATTAAAGAATCGTCCCTGGACTTCGAGTTTTCAATTTCAGTGAATTTGTGAATAATTTATATAAATCAATTATTGTTTTTGTTTCCAGTATCTTCCTTTCTGTAAAAGAAATTATTTACTCGCAGTATTACTATATTTCTCGTTTTTATTCAAACAGGCAACTAGGCACGTATTAAAGAAATGTTCGAAATATAATGGATTCCGATTTTGTTTACTTCTTTTCTAGATTTCTATCGTGTATTCTAGGGAAAATGAGATAATTACGATCGGAATTTATTCCGAGAATTTCCATGATGAGTACCTACGCATGCTCCGGTTTGTAAATTTTTCTTCCACTTCTTGCGGTCTAAAAATCACACGTCACGCGATCGGCTTTTTGTATAATCCCTTTATCAATCAGCTCATTCAACGAAACTTGTCCCACCAGTCGAAAACGTGAGACGCTACACGATTCCGGATAACTTGCATCGCCTGAAATCCGTTATAAAAAGTCTAGGAATTTCGACCCGCGATTGGCAATGACCTTAAAGACGCCATTGACCTGCTTTCCGGAGAACCTGTTCCTGCTCAAGCATAACGTTATTTATGTTCTTTCTCGTTTCTCAATCTTCCCTCTACCATCGTCCCCTTTCTCCGCCGTGAACGTATTCTGTCCGACATCATGTACCGTTTTGAAGCGCCGTAAGCACTTTTACTAGGATGACACTTCTCCATGCCGTGCCTACGTTCCGGAAGAGAAACGCACGCTTAAGTGCATCCTTCGGCGCACTGTGAAGCCTATTCATTGTAGAAGTAGCTTCAATTTAACGTTTGAGTCTACGCATTAAGTTTATGAACGTCGTGTACTATTATTAAGTTAACATTACGTTGAATTTAAAATTTTAATAATCTATATCTATGACTGTAGATCTACATACATATAAAAATAGAGAGAGCCCAACTCTAAAATTTATTCACTTAATTATAATTAAGTTAAACATAAAATCCAACTATAAAAATTACATACAGCCAATACTGCTCTAATAAGCGAATGTATATATGATAAAATTAAGTTTTTCTTCTTGCCTGTTCGCACTTTGAGTGATTTTCTTTGATGAGACTTGTCATGCAAATACACTCATAAAAAAGACTTTACAACTGCAGCAACAATTTTCTAGGTTGCGAATTTTACATGTAAACTGTTAGTAAGATATGATTCATCCTAACAATCGATATGATTCATATCTAATACAATTTGTATAATGCATTAAATATATCCTGCTATTTTAAATTTATCTCCTTTTTGTATCAGCGATGCTAGAGCCAAAAGATCGAATCATGCAGTTAAAACAATGATGCATCATACGCACAAGCAGAAACGTGTAGCACTCCAGACGTAACATGATAAATATTCATAAATAAGTGGTTATTTCTATTTGTTTTTTAATATTATATAAACATATGTTGTATAAAAATTTAATCAAAATATTATTAATAAAAACTAAATATTTTATACATTATGCGTAACTGAAAAAAACATTTCTGACGCGTAGATAACAAAAATTCTAACAAAAATTTATTAAGTACAAATAATAGCACTCGGTTGTAAAATAAGGCTTTGGACGCTTCTTAAATCTTTATAATGTTTCAGAAATATGATACGTCATGTCTATGCCGTGTAATAATTCTTAAACATTATAAAGATGTCTTGTATACAAACATAAGCGAGAAGGAAGCGCTAGAGCCAGAGAAACACTGCTAGCCCGTTGACCGTGGTTGAAATTTGGATGGGTGACCGTGATTGCAGCCGTTTGCACACGACCGCGCAAATGCTGTTGGTCCTTTGATAATCTCAAATCCCGAATTTGTTTACGATACGTTATTTCAGAATCTTTTTCACGGCTTAATAATTATAATTAACAGTTATATTATTTAAGAAGATTGTTCCAGCTGTAGTACCGAATCTCATTTTTATCTACAATGTAGCGATTAATTTAGCAATGACACTTAAACTTTCCAGAAAGTAACGATTGAATGTTGCTGCTATAAACTCTGGAGGCTACAAACAATTTTCTAGCAGATAGAGAAAAAAGCGATAAATTTTTATTACGACACCTAAAATTCTACCTGCGTTAGTAAGACATTTTTTTAAGTGATAGTCGACTTGTCAACACTTGGTAGTTTTAAACAAACAAAATTAAGTGTACAAAAAAACTCTTGTTAAAACACATAACGCTGTTTTATGGCACGTATGTCTGCGTTTTAGTGCATTTGCAGTTACCTGATTAACGATTTAATCATACTAAATTGTGTGATTTTATTTATTCACTTCTTTATTCAATTACGCAATCGTATTGACTTATACTTTCATGCGTGCGAAAAATAAAACGACACGAGGTTTTCTGTTTGAAAATATATTTTTAATTTGTAGTAACATTTTTAGAAATTAAAGAGACATGAATCGTAATCTCAGTCCTTCAAAGCTGCTTCAAGGCTTGCTATGAACCATCTCATTATCGTGAAATTTCAAATCTCACTGATTGTCAGATAGGAAGGTATACGTTTTCGACAGCGCTTTCACAAGGATTATTCACACCCGTTCTTCACTTGCATGGCAGCAATGCAGTTGCAGAAAACGAGGAGATAGCTGTACCACTGACTTATAGTGAGTCCGCAATTAACCTTTAGTCACGTGCATCTTTTCTCTTTTGATTAGAGGAAAACGAGGAAAACGAAACTTGCCGATGACGTCGAATAGCAAAATTGTGGATATTAATTAACGATGCAAGAAGCAAACGCTTTTTTATTTATTCACGACTAACTCGAAGATAAAATTAATAATAATTACAGTAGTTACATATACACTTCAAACAGCTTGCATAATTTCAGTTCTCAAGGTTAAGCTTTAATCTTCTATAATCTTTAAAACCCTTTCCAGTCAATTCATAATATCGATGCGTAATTCACGATAGAATTTCAAATTTATGACCTGATGTATTCTGGCATGTTTCTCATATGAATCTGTATGCGGATTCTTCAAATATTTTCTATGCTATACAGCATATATGATTATAAAATTCCGTTTCAAATACTTTCGCGATTTATAGAGCGATTTTAATAAAAAATTATAAGTGACTCTGAAACGTGAATGATCTTCATGTGCAATTGATAAATTTCTTTCAATCTAATCTTAGATATCTCGTTTATATTAAGGCCTGGAGTAACGCTAATGTTAATATTAATTATATAGCTTTCTCTTTGATAGCTTCTTCTCTAAAGTTTGAAAGCCCCCTCTAACTATGCTATCTCTTAACGTTGTAAATTGAACAGTTAAGTAAGAATTTATGACATACGCTTAAAGAAGAAGAGCGTAAGCTACTTTGAAAATGGCACGTCAACCTGGTTACTCTAGGTAAAGAGTTAATATTAGCGTAAGTCAAGCATTCGCTCAAACTCTGTTGCATTTCTGTTCTGCGAACATCTACGCTGACTGACAGTTAACGTTGTGCAAACATGTTCGTCACAGATAATCATTTAACATGAACACTTTCAACGCAATGATATTTGAGCTTTTACTTCTAATTTCCGATTCTGAAGATTAAAAGTAACACAACAGGTAAAATATTAATATATTTCCCTCAGATTGCCAGCATATTATCAATTATTGTAAACAGAAAGAGAGAGAAAGAGAGAGAAAAAGGTGTTTATTAAGGAGATATTTATTAAAGTTACTGTTCTCTTTTCTTAATCATTTAATATCCATGATATTAACTTTCTTTTCTTTCGTTATTAGCATTAAATAATACGTTTTTTGACGCGAGGTTTGCACTGAAAAATGTAAATTATTTGCCATATTTTAAGATGATGATATAATATTATTTATATTATTTATAAGCTATCCGGTAATCGAAAGTAGATGGCGTATACATTCATTTTGTTTATAAATAACGCGACTTCTTACGCAAAACGTATCCACATAAAAAGAGAGTTAGGTGTACAACAGATTTGTAAATCGGAGAAAACAGCGGAGACCAATTTCTTCTTTAAATCGTTTTGCAAGTGTCGTTTCTCGATAAATGATCCATAATACACTTTCGATCCGCTTGAAAACATTTTATCTTAGCCAGGAGAGTGTTAATAATTTAAAATAATAATACACTATTAATGAATTTATATATTAGGTACATGTCGGATACATAAACGTTGGTCTTCATCGACGCGGTGTTCATCGATAATCTAGGAAGATACATGGTGGTTCTTGAGTAGCAAAACCGTGAATCAGATTCCGTTAAATTACATCGAGAGAATGCGGACGGTTGGAAGAAAGGAATATTTAGAAGTGGGGCACCTACATAATCGCGTCATCTTCACGTCGTCATCAATCATAGAACGTATAAAGGAGGGACGACTACTTTTAACTAATTAGCCGTAAAGGAGGAGAAATACGAATGCGTATTTAGTTCTGAGCCTCTATTTTAGACCAATTCACTGAAACACCTCCAAGAACTCGGTCTATTGCGTGTTGCCAATAATTTAAAGCTTCCATTCTTTCGTTTTTGCTACTAGGAATCTTACTTGCACTATAATTAAAATTGTATTTAAAACTTTTTATAAAAATTACTGGCTTTATATCAACGATGTAAAAACTTGTACGTATTTTTTTTCAAAAACATTTCAACGCACGAATAATGTTAGAGATAAGAGATTATTGCGATTTCGATGATTGGTCACGACGCTTTTATAAAGATAAATGGAATAAGATAAAAATTAACTTCTCGCTGAACCGCAACATGATTGCGCGCTAATGTAATATCACCGGCGATTACGAGGCTGCTCTGATGCAAGAATCGCGTACCACTTTGTCGCAAAGGGCTGTTAATGTGGTCGACATCAGCGTGCTCGTGCGAAGACGGCACTCTGCTTCGTACACAACTCAGAAAATATCATTCTCCGCGAGGTAGACCACGGACACTCGTTCGGTGTGTTGAAAGCGCGGCACGTTTAGAGAATTCCCTTTTTTCACGCACACTTTCCACACGTGTGCCGCACATATTAACCGCACGTAATGTTCTGGAAAGCCATATAACGAGATCGTTGCGTGAACGTACGACATAATGTACGACGAGTGTCATCAAAGAATCGTGAATCTTCGGTTAATGCTGACGCGGGTATTTCATCGATTCTTTTTGCGTAAAATGACGAAGAACAGACAAAAGTGAAATGTTATTGTAATATCATTAACTTTTCTGTTGTCTCTGCTAATTGTTATTGAACATTAATTTGAATAATCATTTCTAGCTGAGCATTATCGGTGACTTAAACAATGTTAGAAATAGTGGTTTAAAAAAATTTAATATTAAGTATAAAAATACAAAAATATATATATATATCACAACAAAGATATGTATATATTCTTTCTTATATGTTTACAATTCTTAATAATTTTACAAATTTTATGCTACAAATTTTGGATTTATAAGTTCTATAAAATTTTAATTTTCTATTTCTTTTAATATAAAGAATTTATTTTAATTTCTAAGAATTTGGATCAGTTCTTGAAAACTACAGAATATAGAATAGTTTTTAGTATTGCTTTGCTGAATTGACTTGTGCTACCGAAGAAAATCTATCAAATCGTTACCGCATTCTTATGATTTTTCTCTTCTCTTTTTCTTTCTCTCTTTCGATATATGTTGCACTTAAAAATGTTATGAAATATCACAGCCTTCTATTTTCGAATTATAAATACTTGTTCTAGATATTTCAGCAATATGGCGCCAAATTTATTTGGTAATTCAGCCACGTTATTCCTCGAAGCTTCTCAGCAGAATGTGTCACAAAACAAATCGGTGGCAGAAAAAATTGTGACGCAACAATTGTCAACCCAAAAGATACAAAACTCGCAGCCCAAGTACAAGTGGAAGATCGTCTGGAGAAACGTGATAGTTTTCGCCTACCTTCATCTCGGTGCAGTTTATGGATTGTATATTTTAATAACGGCTGCCAAATTTTACACGATTCTTTGGAGTACGTTACATTTATGTATCTTTTAAGACTTAAGACTTAAAACCCGAGCCTAGTTTTATTAATTGCAACTAATGATTTCCAGAAAGGAATAATATAAAGAGTAGATATCAATAATTTAAACCAGTAGATTTTTATAAAATAATAATTGCATGTGTCTCATTCACAAAAGATTTCATGATGTTAAGTACGTTGACACATTTATTGATTCTTTCAGGTGTAATAGTCGTATTGTTAGCGGGTTTCGGTGTTACAGCAGGTGCCCACAGATTGTGGGCTCATCGAGCTTATAAAGCGAAATGGCCGATGAGAGTCATTCTTATGCTTCTACAGACCACAGCTTTTCAAGTAAGTCTCTCGGCAATGCAGTTATACAAACTTATTCATGTGCTTTAAAAAAGACAGCAATCATTATTATAAATTTGTAGTTATTATCTCATAAGTAATTTGAAGTGTCGCTCCTACGGAAAAGCAACGAAATAATTACTAGAAAATTACTGTACATCAGTAATTTCTAATAATTCAATTATTGATATACAGTAATTTTCTAGTATAATTATTTCGTTAATTTTTCATAAAGGGGCGTAGGCGTGTTTTAAAAAATATTACTCTAAAAAGATAAGAAGAGATTCGTTTGTTTATAAAAAAAAATATACTCCACAGAGAAACTTCCGAAAGAAAGTGTAAATACAATTATCATTTAATGTGCATGTTTTTTTTTAGAATCACATTTACGAGTGGGTAAGAGATCACAGAGTGCACCATAAATACACGGATACGGATGCGGATCCGCATAATGCAAACAGAGGTTTCTTCTTCTCGCACATAGGCTGGCTGTTGCTCCGCAAGCATCCGGATGTTATTAGCAAAGGAGCCATGATCGATATGAGCGATCTCGAGCGTGATCCCGTCGTCGTCTGGCAACGCAGGTACGATAATTTGTCATCGTTTGAGTAGCTCGACGTCATTTTTTATTAGTTGGCCAAGTTTCACAAATGATATCGCGCGTTTCTTTCTTAAAGAACGATTATCGTCCGATTTCACCAAGATTAATCTCTACGTTTGTGTTACAGGCTCTACATTCTCTTGGTGCCTATTTTCTGCTTTGTGCTCCCTACGTACATACCGATCCACTATTGGAACGAGAAACCCATGTACGCGTGGTACGCCGCCGTTTTCAAATACACATTGCAGCTGAACATAACTTGGTTGGTAAATTCCGCGGCCCACATTTGGGGCATGAAACCATACGACAAGTGAGTGCCATCCAAGATCTTTGCCGTTTACCCTATTTCGAGTCGTAAATCTGCGGAAACGGAAATTGATAAGAGAAACGTGTTCGTATCTTTGTCGCAGCACCATTAGCCCCACCGACAGCCTAACCGTCGGTATCCCAGCTTTCGGCGAGGGCTGGCACAATTACCACCATGTCTTCCCATGGGATTACAAGGCCGCCGAATTGGGCAACTATCGCACAAACTTAACCTGCGGCTTCATCGACTTCTTCGCCTGGCTCGGCTGGGCGTACGATCTGAGGACCGTGAATCACAACCTGATAAAGAAGCGCGCGGCCCGAACAGGCGACGGTTCGTTATATGAGCGAACGGATGATCGTAATAGCGAACATCATCACACGCAAGATAAAATTATATGGGGATGGGATGATGCCGATATGTCACTCGAGGATAAGCAGACGGCCGAGATCCTCAATAAGAACGACTGAGGCACCGGGGTTCAGTTTGCCCAAAATTTTGTACGTGGCATTACAGTGTCACGTCGGAATTACGTAGAACGTGTCGTCCGACAAACTCCGTTTGAGTTTACGATGATATTGTATGATAACTTCATAATGAATTCAGTGATGAGGGTTTAATATATTTATTAACATCGTTGTATATCATGTGAGGTATCGTAATTACCTCTTATAGGTGTGTAGTACTGATGGCAGTTGGGCACGTTTGGAGAGCTCATTGTCAAAGCTAATTCAGTGAGTCTATACTATACTGGAAGACCTACTGCCCTCTTGAAGAAGATGGACAGGCAGAGGCAGACAAATGGTTCTCATTTCTATCTCTTTCTGATAGTAGAGTAATTATAATTGACGAAAGAAAAATGCCACTTATAGTCGCCAGTGGTGGTTAAAAATTAAAAAAGTGAGCTCATTGCCAACCCAACTGGCAAATTTTATTTAATTCGTTGCAACATTTCGACTTTACTTCAGGTCCTTGTCAAGTAACAATACAAATAAGAAAACGAGAAAATTTCGCAGACAAGCGAGCCATCGTCGTCCGTGAGATAGAGTCAAAGAATGAAAATAATAAGCGCATCCGAACATCACGGAGTCATTAATTCTAATTAGTCAATAAGTGAGATAGAAACCGATTTTTATCTCATCTTAATAAGTGAGATAGAAATCGTGACATAGGGAAAAAATCGTTGACCAATTAGAATTACTAGAAAGGGAATGGGAACCATTTGTTTCACTCTACCTTTTTCAAGAGGGCGGTAGGTCTTTCAGTATAACAGGGATCCTCTAGGAACGTCATTTGTTTCAAATGCGGAAGCGTTGACCCGTGCTGCAAATGCTTCAAAGCGTTCTTCTTCTTTCTTTAAAAGGAAATATGTACGTACACCAGGAATCACTGATGCCTCCTCATATGAATTTAGGCACGTGTAAAACACATATACATTTTCCGTGTATGTATGTGCAAACTGTATACATGTGTTGACACGTGCCCAAATTCACGTGGGAAGGCATCAGTGATTCCTAGCGTACGCTTGTAGCATCGGACTATCTCTGTCTGCCTGTCTTTATCTACTCTCTCCCTCTGTTTCCGGTCTTGAAACAAATGGCCGGCGACCAATAGAAAACGTAACCGATTATACCGATCTCTTCCTAGAGGATGCTTGCAGTACAGTTTAGAGTTCACTGGCGCTATTTAACACTAGTTGTTCGCGGAACTAGATGGTAGCGCTAGCTAGCTCATCATGACGTCACTATAAATGATAACGTTACACATCATAACTGCATAACGGTTTTCCTTCCGAGGTAGTGTGATGATAGCGTTAGTGTTTGTAAGTTCCGTGAACGCCGTCAGCAGCTGTTAGCATCATAGTTGTACGGAATTTAGGTTTCCTTTGGTTAGCTTGTCTTTGAATTTGTCAAAGTGTAATGGATACGTCGCATTACATTGTATTACATTGAATTCTGTATAATGCAAAACTAAAGTTCTCAGAGCACGAGACGGAAAATTGTAGTTATATTAATAGTCGAATTAAGTTCAATGTTTAAGTTTGTGAGCTTTGTATTTTATATTCCTCCCTCTTAATAATGTTTCATCAATCATTTTTAAATAAAGTACAGATGAATTGACAAGTTTCTAACTTTTATTTTTGGTGCTGGCAGGCATGGCAGATGTCAAATACCAGACATTGCGTCACTGTTGTTCACGGAGTTCGCTATCACTATTCCGCTATTGGCTTCACTAGCGTTGGCAGCGCGACAGCGAGCTCCCCCGAGCGCACCCAGGGTGCTCTCTGACAAGTCACGGCCGTCGTTTTATATGACGATGGTCACAGTTCGGCCACATACATTAGCCGCTCGCATCGGACACGGCCATCTTGTTACAGATTGAAAAAATGCGACCGTATATATTTCACATATATAAATTAATAGTGAGAATATTATATTTGTTGGATGTGCACGCTCTATGTTACAAAGTCCCTTGTAAATTGTTGAATAGGGACATAATCACCCAAAGAACAGTGATCCAATGTTTAACGGCGTCAATTAATATTTATTGTATAATATTATATTGTTATATCGTTCCTCTCTTCAACTCCGTTGAAACACGTCGCAAGTGTCGATCGCTTTGCAACGAAGGGATGGAACATCTTAAGGCACGACAGCGATTTTTCGAGCCAATCAGATTCCAGGATCGGTCGATTAGAAATGTTTTCAATCAGGAATATACGAGCGCGAGAGGCGCGCGCGCGCTGTATCGTCTCTCATTTGAGATAAATCTGCCGGTAAACGCTCCGTTAGGGAATAAGAGATTCTTGCGAATCTAGAATGATCAAGTGACGATCTGTGTATTGGCGTATCGTGTACAATCAATTACGTACCTACGAATCAAATTTTATTCGTGGCCTTCTGAATGACTGTTTATGTATTTAGACTTATCGCGTTCACTGTTTTGGTACCTTGTGGTCCACGCCGTGATATTTCTAACGTGACAGAGCGCGAATCGTTATCGATTTCTAATGCTGCTGTTGTAATGTCAAGTAGTCTGCAGTTTAATAAAATTTTAGACATTATACTCTTAGCTGGAAATCAATATTTGCGAAAATCATTTAAACGATAGGGGATTCGTAACATGAAAAATATTTTCATGGTTAGTGACCACGTAGACAGAAATGTAGCTTGTATCAGCATCGGCATTGCAATCGACCGTAAATAATAGGCGTTCAAGTTTTAATCGACTTCTCAAATTTTCTCAACACGGCGACGATATAGATTTCGTATGGCATCATATCGCTTTCGCCGTCGAATATCATGCCAGTCACGTTCCCCGTTTTGATAATTGCAAGCATCATGATACTGAATATAATTTAACAGGATATAACGTAACGGAAGGTTGCAAAAACGTAATAAGTAAGTTGATAACTTGAAAGATTTATTTCGAATACAAGATATATAAGTTTTTCAATCGCGAAATCATTTTTCCATTCAATCTTTCACATTTACGATATAAAATAAACATTCTTGGCATGTATTACACATTGTACATGTACAATGTATGTGATAAATATTTCGACATTAATATCGTAGTCATAAAATTGCGCACGAAATTATATGAAACCTACATCAGAGATATGTGGACAGAGATGGGATTAGAAATCGGTGATTGGCGGTCAGCTCTGACATAACTCCGTAAGTGACGCGATGGCAATCGAGCCGCTGTTCGTTACTTACATAATTAACAAGCGTTTCGATGCCGCGCGATATGGACCCGAATTCCGTCTGTCTTCCGTAAATAATCGCCGTATTGGATTCGAGTTCGATCGCGCAGCCGCGAATACCGATTTCGCAAAGCGATCGTTACGAAAGCACATTGTATGGACACGTGAGACTAATTATGCGACGCGCGACGAATAATTAAAATCCGTATTATTTTATTATAGCAAATCGTTGCAACGAACGCTATAATAAACGATTGAACGGTATTTGTGTCAAAGAGACTACTCTCTCATAAGCCTTTAAAGAAAAGTTTTCTTTGCTACATATATTCTATTACTCAATAATTTGCATATGAATTAATTAATTAATTTGACAGAAATAGGCCAAATGGAAGCAAATATGAAATAATTTATGATTTATCAGTTTTAATTCCAGGTGACAGACCATTCAAGCCATTAAGGCTATTTATAATTTTTTAATAATTTATAATTATAATATTAAAAGTCCAAATTATGGTCAACATAAAATAAACTCGCTCCAAACTTTCAATTATTCTAAAAGTGCGTCCCACCTTATATTTCGTCTTCCCGATGTACTGAAAAGATATTGTGGACATCGCATAATTTTCTGCACTACAATGACTTGGATTCTGACACCATTTCTAAAACTTTACTCTATCTCATGCTGATTTCTTTACACAACAGTTGCTCTTTTATTATATCTTTAACAAGACTCTTTAGAGTCTAAATCATCATTATTTGTATCTACTGTTATGACTTAGAGTTCTTTGCTACGACCGAGACGACCGTTTGAAATTTGTCAATTATAACTGATTCAAGCGCGAGACCCCTGCGAGAGGCCACGATTTTTCAACTTCAAAGACAAAGAGAGTAGCACAACCGACACTTCTATTGCGAATCGCTTTTCTTTTATCAGGCACTCAATCTGTAATCGTAAGTTTTAAGAGCGTAGTTTGTAGGGGAAATCATATGGTTAATATGGTTAATGTGTGAGAGTTAAGACATCGAAACGAATGACGCTTCGTCATAGCTACGTTCTCGTTCCACACGATGTAGATTTTGCTAAGACAATATTGATATGAAAAAAAATATATATATATGTATACATAAAAATACATTAAATTAAAAATATATTCACGAATTTATATAAATAAATTACTGTTATCGATACACATGGACACGAAATCGATGCTGTTTTCATGTTACAGCTGTCATTATCTTCCAGTGCATCATAAATTGACGCGAGGATCGTAATCGGACTATTTCGTATATATATACGTATATAAATGCTCCTAGGTGTAATTGTTACGTAAAACAAACCTGGATTCATTAATTGCGTTTGCTCACTACGATTTAATTACCTATTACTCGAGAATCGGTGTCCCATCTCGCGTTTCACTTTCTAGGGAGCACGACACAAACACGAGGTAACAAAGTGACGAAATTGCAATTTATTTCTCGTCGTAGATCGCACAGATTGTGTATCCTCCGTAAAGTGCTAATAATTGCTTTGCTTAATCACGCGGGTTCTTAGAACGGATCGCACCTTTACGACATCCGCGCAAGTTTACATAACTCTGTATTACGAAATTTCTGCCGCTTTAAGATTTTCGCCCTGTCCGCGTGCTGCGTACTTGGGATCGCTTGATTGTACGTTACGTGTTTGCAATTTGCGATAAAGATATATTCTCGCGTGTGCACAAGCTTCGGCAAGACATTTGACAGTTTGTCGAAAGTCAGACGTGACTGTTTTACGATTCATACAACGAATTTCGCCGGATGTACGTAACGAGTCATTCATATTTCTCGCGATTCTGCGAAGATCAATCGGGAAGACGTGCGGAATCACAACGTTGTAAAATCGTAAATTTCCTGCGTCTAAATGAGAAAGCCTACATCATTTTCGACGAATGAGAAAGAGTTTAAAAGAACAAAACTGATCATAAATCAGTAGATACAATTTTCACGAGCGAAACAGAGCTCGACAACACAATCGCCGTTGACGTCTTGACGACGCGCATCGCCGAATCGCATTTCTTTTCTCGTACTCTCCTCACATAAAACTGAGGTGCAGGATTACGGGACAAAATTTTAAACAAATTGTACAACAGCGTAATTCATTTGATTAAGTGAAAATCGCATTATTATTCTCATCAATATTTTTGATATACAATAATAATTATTAATTAATTAGGTACAGGAACATTTTAACGTTCGTGATATTAATCGATAATGATCAATTACGTACAATTAAAAATTGTCGATT